AAAATAGAACACAAAAAAGACACAGAGGGATACTCTTCTGATCTTAAGAAATGGATATAGATCTAAGTACTCTGATTACTGTAGGTAATCCAAACCTAGTATGTTCTCTTCCCCCTCCCCCACCCTGCCCCCCAAGTCATAGGGTTTGAACTCTGGGCCTGGGCTCTGTCCTTGAATTGTTTGGCTCAAAGATAGCAGTCTACCATTTTGAGTCACAGCTCTACTTCTGTTTTTTTTGCAGATGATTGAAGATAGGAGTCTCAGGGACGTTACTGCCTAGGTTAGCTTTGAACCGTGATCCTCAGATCTCAGCCTCCTGAGTAGCTAGGATTACAGGCATGGTCCACCAGTGGCCAGACCATATGCTCTTTTACTCCCAACTTAGAACCTACTCCCATAGGTTTTATTTGTAATGGAACTCATCTTAATTCCTTCTAAGCGTATGACACTATGAAAAAAATCAAAGAAAGTAAAACTATATTTTTCAGCAAAAATATAATAAAATTCCTCTCTATTATCTTTCTTGTAGAGTGTACAGGAGATACATATATAGACAGTACATGTACAAAATGTTTAATTGTACTCTCATGTGTATTGACAAATTGTCTAGATACAGAATTTAAATACCATCAGTTCATAATTTTAAAGGCATGACATTGTCTTCAAGTTTCCCTTTTTGTTAGTGATTTTGAACCTATTTTTTTTGTCTTTCTTTTTTGGATATAGGCTCTGGTAGTGACCTAGGATGACTTGGAACTCACTATGTGGCACAAGCTGGTCTTGAAACCTTCAGTCCTCCTTTGTCAGACTCCCCAATGGGGGAATTTCAGATATTTGCCTCCAAACAGAGCTGACTTAATTTTCTGTGTTGTGTGCATATGTATGTGCATTTGTATGAGACAGAGAGGGGGGAGGAGAGCAAGAGTCAGTGAATGACAGACAGAGAGTCAAGTAGAGACACACAGAGAAACAAAAGGACAGAGACAGAGACACAGAGACAGAATTACAGAGAGCAACATACAGATAGAGACAAAGGCAAAGAGGGACAGAGTCATAGAGAGAGAGGAAAAGGAAGGAAAGAAGGAAGGAAGGAAAGAGAAGGAAGGAGGGAAGGAAGGAAGGAAGGAAGGAAGAGAGGGAGGGAGGGAGGAAGGGAGAGAGGGAGGGAGGGAGGGAGGGAGGGAGGGAAGAAATATATCATCCTTTTAATCCATGGTATTTTCAAATTTGTGGATGATGGCTCCTGATGTATTTCTTTAAAAAAAATTATTGTGGGGCTGGGAAGGTGGCTCAGTGGTAGAGTGCTTGCCTTGCATGCCTGAGGCCCTGGGTTAGATTCCCCAGCACCACATATGCAAAAAGAAAAAAAGCCGGAAGTGGTGCTGTGGCTCAAGTGGTAGAGTGCTAGCCTTGAGCTGAAGAGCTGAGGGACAGCGCCAAGGCGCAGAGTTCAAGTACCATGACCGGACCCAAAAAAAAAAAATTGTGCTGAACACTTGACTGATCTTTAGTTCAGAAGTTCAGTTGATTTAGTCCTAGAAATATTCTTGCAAATTCTTTGATATGCCTTACTCCATTTATTTATTATCTTGCAACAAATTATTTAAAAATTTAGTACCTTAAAATAAAACTGTATTATTATCCCTTAAGATTCATGTGCTTAGTTAGAGTCTGATGGTGACAGGAGCTAGGGATAGTGCCATTTGAAAACTTTACTCACTGGCTGTTTAATAAAGCTTCTTTATTCCCATGTCTAGCACCTCATATGGAATGGTTAGAAGACTGAGGATCAGCCAGGCATTTCTCTCCACATGTGAGTGTCCTTATAGTATGGATAGCTCAGGGTAGTCGACTTCTCACACTGGAGGCTGGGATTCCCCCAGAGAACACGTTGAATGTTCTAAGAAATAGGAAGCAGAACCACTAATCCTTTTAAATCAGGATTCTCGGCAGGGGATTATTTTGCCTCAGGGGGAGGGGCTGGGAGGATTATTTGGCAGTGTTTCTTAGTTGTCACAAGTGGAGAGAGGATGCATCCATAACATCAGAAGGAAGACTACTTACTAGACATCCTACATTATGTACGATAGTCTGATACAATTATACAACCCAAAATGTCAATAGGGCCAAGTGTGATTTTCAAAAAAACACCTGTTTTAAAGTATCAAACCAGGACAAAGGAATCACATGTTGGAGGATTAATCTCTAATGAGTTTGAAACAAATGAACGCTACACAGTGACATCAGACATACCCAAGAATGAAGACATCAATTAATTCATCGTGAATTAATTGAAAGTTTACATATTAATCATTAAGATTGTGGTTGCTAATTTTATCAAGTTGAAAGGTGTTTTGTGTGAAATAAATACATCAATTTTTGACATCACAGACATATTATTTTGTGTAATGACACTACATGATATTCTTGCTAAGAGCCTGATGACACATTTCTTATAATGTGTCCTTATCTTTAATGCACTCATTAATATATCTATATTCAAGTTTATATATCTAGGCAGAAGCTTAGATGATTCTTTGGCAAAACTCTGTAGAGGATCATAGCATATGACATTGGCCATTTCATTCTGCACATGAATCCTGTAAAACATCCCATGATATTAATTGATAAGCTTCACTCACTCAATCTCACATATTTCATTCTTTTTTTTTTCTTTTGCTGGACTCAGGGCTTTGAACCACTCTGGTTTTGGTTACCGTAGCTTTGTAGTAGATTGAGTGCAGATTTTCTCTCTCCCTCCCTCCTTCTCTCCCTCCCCCCCCCCTCGGCTACAATACTTGATAAGAAATGTACTCATTATCTTGCCCATGTAATTGTAACCCCTCTGTACAGTATTTTTACAATAAAAAAAACAAAAAAATCATTAAAAAAAAGAAAATAAAAGAAAATCATGGCAAATGTAGTGACAGAGGTCTTTGAATTGAGAATTGGATTTCTTGCATTTTCTCTATTGTTTTATATTTGTGAAACTTTTGAAGTAAGGTCAATTAGATAAGAAAAAATAAATTGGAGCAAAACAAACAAAATTATTTCTATTTGCAGGTGGCAAGATCTCATGAAAATAAAATCACAAGGGATTAACATGTCTATTAAAGCTAATAAATTAAGAAAACTCCAAGATGCAAAATCAATACACAGAAATCAGTTTTAGAGCTAAACACTAGCCATGATCAATCTGTAACATAAATGAAGATAACCACTTCATTCACAGTCAAAAAGAATAAAATATTTAGGAAAAAAATTAGCAAAGGAAGTGCTGGGAGATTTAAACACTGGAAACCAAGAAAATATTGCTAAAATAGGCCAGGTTCAGTGGCTCACACTTGAAATCCTACCTACTCAGGAGGCTGAGATTGTTAGGATCAAGGTTTGAGGCCAGCCTGGATAAAGAGTGAGATGTATCTTAACCAATAAAAGCTAGGAATTGTGTCATCCAACTATTATACCAGCTACATAGGAAACATAAATAGATTCCCAATGCAGGCAGGCCTGGGTATTTATGCAAGACCTTATTTGAACAACAACTAAAGTGAAAAGTGATGGGAGTATGGCTCAAATGGCAGGGTACCTGTCTAGCAAGTTCAAAACCTGAATTGGAAACAGTAGAATTTATATAAAATAAATTCCTAGCTAAATCTAAAATATAACTAGGCATGATAACCTACATAGGACTCTAGGCATTCACATACAAACTGTCAGAATAATTGAGGATACCCTTAGGGGAGTAACCCAAAAGTGTAAATTCTCTGAACATTTAAAATACTATCTACAGAAATGAATCCTAGGAAAATGGAAACACTAGATTTTTGTTCTTGTTGTTGGTGATGGTGATGTTTGGTTTTGCTTTTTTTTTTGCTTGGTTTTGGTGGTGGGAGGGAAAAGGGGAGAGCAGAGAAAGGGAGGGAGGAAGGGTAAACAAATGTAATCAATGTACACTATGTGGTAAATGAACTATGTAACTTGTGGGCAGTGATGGGAGGCGGAAACTGGGGGAAAGTGAAGGAAGAGGTGACATTGTCCAAAAAAAGAAATATACTCATTATTTGGTTTAGGAAATGGTAACCCCTCCATGCAACACCTTAATAATAACAATAAAATTGTATTTTAAAAAGATAAACCAGGCACCGGTGGCTCACACCTGTAATCCTACCTATTCAGGAGACTGAGATAGTAGGATTGTGGTTTGAAGCCAGCCAGGGCAGAAAAGTCCCCATGAGACTCTTATCTCCAATTAACCACTCAAAAACACAAAGTGGTCCTGTTGTTCAAGTGATAGAGTGTTAGCCTTGAGCACAAAGAGGCTCAGGACAGCACTCAAGTACTGAGTTCAAGCCCCAGAACCAACAAACAAAGGAAATTAAAGGCAAAAATAAAATAAATTCCTTAAAGTTAATGCCAAAATTACAATCCAATTAACAAAGGGGCAAAATATTTAAATAAACATTTCTCTGAAGATATATCAGTGGCCTATGGAAAGGACAATAAAAATCATGTGGTTTTTGTCGCCCACAAATCATCTTACTGAGATGAATATAATAAAAGGCAAGTGTTGACAAAGATAGAAAAAATTAATATCTCCATACATTGCTAATGAAGATACAAAATGCTGAACCCACTTTAGAAATCAGTCTGCAAATTTCTTAAAGTTGAAACACAAGCTGGGCACCAGTGGCTCACACTTCTAATCCATACTACTCAGGAGGCTGTGCTCTGGGAATCATGGTTCAAAGCTAGTCTTGGTAGGAAAGTTTGTGGTTCAAATGGTAGACAGCTAGTCTTAAGCAAATGCTCACAGAGAGTACTGAAGTCCTCAGTTCAAGCCTCCAAACTGGCACAAAATTGTAAGTTGAAATTGCTATAAATAAATTGCTGTAAGATCTAATAAATCAATCACATATACTTGGGAGAAAGCAAAATACATACACAATAACTTGTACATAGATGTTCATACTAGATTCACAACTGACATGATATGTCTATCAAGATAAAAATGTATTATAATTGAATGGCATATTATTCAGCTGTAGCAAGGAATGAAGTAATGACATGGTATACCATTCATTGACCTGAAATGACTGTGCTAAATTAAACAAGCCAAACACAAATGATCATACACTATATGGCCTCATTTATGGATACTATCCCAAAGTAACAATTCAATTTCCTGGAAACAGAGACCATTACTAAGAGACAGAGCAGGTTTGGTGGAAAATAGGAAGGCACTATTAATTGGTATTCTCTTTTGGGAGTAATAAACATTCTCTGGAATTAAACACTGATGATGGTTGTATACCATGATGAATATACTCAAAACCCCTAAAACATTTAGAATGGTTTTATGTTAACTATACCTCAATAAAATCAATTTGAAATGTTTTTGTGAATATCACAAAAATTAATGTTCCATTAACTCTAGTTTGGGATGTAACAAATCACAACCATCTGTGAAGAGTCTTTTTATTAAGATAAATCCAGTAATTTTACACATACACATATCATTGAAACTGCCCTTTTCAAATAAACATTTGCACTTCTTTGAAAAATGAAATTACAACTTTATACTTTCCGCAACTACCAACAAAGTTATACTTGGGAAAGGTGATTCTAATTCTTAGCATTACATGAAAATAGTCCACCTTCTTTACAAAAGCCACCTAGAGAACCACAAGAAGGCTGAATGAAACTTTCTTTTGGAATCTCTCTACTTTGTGAAATTATTCTCTATATAGGAATAAAATTAAAAAAGGAAGATTTAGCGCATAACTTATAGAAAAGGAATTCACTGACAAAGATGAAAGCATCTCTTATGCATCCACTACAACCATCAGAAGTTTTATAAAGATGTCAAGTTAGGCATTTTGTGACTAATGATCTGTATAACAATGTTTCAAAATTAAATGATACTAAAGAAAAAGCAGCATTTATAAAATATTTGATAAAAATATTTATCTCTATTAACATTAAAACATGAAGGTATGTTATCAAATTATGAAATTATATAGGGCAGCTTAAACAATACTCTGAGATTTGTCTTCATTTTCAGCTTCTTTTCCAACTTCAGGTTTGTTTTGAACTTCCTTTTCATCTCCTTCATCTTCCTTATCATCTTCCTCTTTCTCATCTTCTTTTTCTTTTTCTTCTTCCTTCTGTTTTCCACTTTCTTTCTCACTTTCACCTTCATTTTCCTTTCTGTCTTCCTCTTCTTGTTCATTTTTCTTTTCTTTATCTCCTTCATCATTTCCATTTCCATCCTTTCCTTCATCTACATTACTTTCCCCATCTCCATCCTTCCCCTCATCTCCTTTATCTTCATCTCCATCCTTTTCCCCATAACCATCTTCTCCATCCTCATCCTTTGCCTCATCAATGTCCTCTCCTCCATCTCCATCTTCTTCCCCATTACCATCCTTTTCTCCATCTCCATATTTTACCCCATCATCGTCCACTTCAACTGCATCCTTTTCTTCATCACCATCTTCTTCTTCATCTCCATCCTTTTCCTCATCACTGTCTTCTTTTCCATCTCCATCCTTTCCCTCATCTCCACCCTCTTTTTCTCTGTCTCCATACTTACTTCCATCTCTACCATTTCCTCCAGACTCTTTTCTACCATCTTGTTTCTCTTTTGCATCTCCACCTTCTTTATCATCTCCCTTCTGTTTCAGTTTTTCTACCTTTTCCCCAGATTCTTCCTCATCTCCATAACTATCCTTGTTTACATCTTCCTTCTTGTCTTCTTTGTCCCCTTTTCCATCTTGTGGTTTATCTTGTTTATTTTGATCTTTTTCATTTTCTTTCTTTTCTCCTTCCACTTCTTCAATATTTTCATTTTTTTCTACTTTGATTTCTTCAGCTCCTTTTTCAGCAACAGGTCGCTAGGTGTATAAAGGGGAAAACCCAAAATTATAAAATTAGTAATTTAGAATTATTTCTCCCACATTTTTATCAGATTGAATCTATTTCAATGGAAGAACAATATTTCTTTTACCAGAAAGTAAATTGCTCCTAGATAGATCACAACATGAGCAAAATGTGCTAATAACTAAAATTAAAACTGTCTCCATACAAATAGCTATAGATATTTGCAGCAATAAATTCAGTACAGTTTATTCATATAAAGGATTTCCATTACAAAAATAAGGAAGCACAAAGTAAATACTTAAAGGATGACATAGAGTTAATCTGTTTCAGCATATTTTAAATTCATTTTTTCTCCTTAGATACTATTACACAATAGAACCTCTTTGTTTAATGTTTCTTAATTTTTAAACTAAAATGCAAGTAAGATTTTTTTCATTGTGCCCATTCTTAAGCTTTCAAGTGGATCAATTTGTTAACATGGTATGATACCTCAATAATTTTGGCTTCTCCGTTCTCAGAATTTTCTGTGTTGGGTGCTTCCTTGGCAAATTCTTCTTGATCGCTTTCAGACATCATTCTGGTATTTGTATTAGTGTTTTCTTCCATCTCATCATTTTTAGTCATCATTTTCTGTCCAGCAACACAAAATATAATAAAAACAAATACACAATTAAGCTATTATATTATTTGGCCACAATTACTTTGCAGGCTTTCTATAATTTAAGGAACTCTGATATCTGCATATAAACTGAATGTCAACAAAATTAACAAATAACGTGTGTGTGTGTGTGTGTGTGTGTGTGTGTGTGTGTGTGTGTGTGTGTGTATGCTAGTGTGGAGATTGTACTCAGGCCCTGTCCCTGTTCCTTTTTGCTCAAGGCTAGCTATCTACTACTTAATACATAGCTCCACTTTCTGATGTTTGGTGGTTAATTGGAAATAAGAGTCTCTTGAACTTTCTTGCCTAGGCTGGCTTAGGACTAAGATCTTCAACCCTGAGTCTGAGTTAGCTAGGATTACAGGCATGAGCCACCAGCACATGGCTGCAGTTTTTATTGTAAACCTAAAGCAGCATTACAAATTTATAATGTCCTCAATGTAAATAAAAGAAATCTGTTTCTTTGGCAAATTTAATATATTTTCAGACAATATTCTTGGATAAAGAGACCATTAAGTATGTGAAATTGTATTTTAAATAATTTAATTTATATATTTTACATAATTCTTATTATTATCTCAGCATTGTTTTCAAAATGTGACAGAATTATTCTGAAGTTCATCAGGAAGAACAAACCAAATATGTAATGTAAAAGAAGACTAATAGTGTCATTATATCAGATAATAAAACACATTGTAATACAGTAACAAGAATAGATAATATGCATTATACACTTGTTATATACTAGGCACTATTTTAAGCAAATTGCATTAACTTCTCTGATCCTTACAAACAGTACGAGGTTGGGTTGGTGGGAGGAGTTGGGGAAGTGGGGAAGGAAGTGATGATAGGGGGAAAATAAAGGAGGAGGTAACAATGCTCACTATATACTCATTACCCTATTCATGTAACTGTAACACCTCTGTACAAAATTTTTACAATAAAAAACAAATAGTATGGGGTATGTATGTTTATTCCTATTTTAGACATAAAGTCAGAATTAGGTAGATGACAGATAAATTAATGGAACAGAACAAGTAGCCTGAGAACAGACATATGTATGCATGAATGTGTGTGTGTGTGTGTGTGTATGTGTGTGTGTGTGTGTGTGTGTGTGTGTGTGTGTAAATCATACTCTAACCAATTAGAACACAAAAGTCAGTGGGTAAGGGTTAAGTCATGATACTAGTTCATTTGTTCTTCAAACCTGCTCTCATTAAAACAATTATATTGCTGGGTACCAGTGATTCATGTCTATAATCCTAGCTACTCAAAAGGCTGAGATCTGGAAGATCTCTGTTCAATGCCAGCCCATGCAGAAAAGTTGAAGAGACTCCATCTCTGATTAACCAACAAAAAGCCAGGCTGAAGACTGAGACCTTGAGTTCAAACTCTAGTATTTCCCTCATCCAATGCAATCATGTTGGGATTGTTTGTTTTAAATACACAACCTGAAGTTGTACCACCGAAGTTACAGATTTTGACAGCTCTGGGCTAAGGCTTGAGTTCCTGTAATTTCATTCAGCTCCAGCAATTCTGATGCTCTGGGAGTTTTACTTGTAATTAGCATATTCAATGCATTTTAAAATGCCTTTTTTGCTACCAATTCTTAACTTGTGTACTAGTAGAAAGACCATTGTGTTAAGGGACCAGAAAACCTTTGCTTGAATTCTGAATCTGCCACATATATATTATCTTGATCAGAATCTTAAAGTTTGATGCTGTGTTTTCTTATGTAAAAAGAGATTAATACCCCCTATTTCACAGGGAGGCAAATGACAAATGAATGTGAAATTGAGTTAGAACTTGTAAAGTGCAATATAAATACAAGTTATTGCTCTCCTAACAAATAAGAAACTGAAAAAGTGCATGTGTGTGCGTGTGCATGTGCGTGTGTGTGCACATGCACACGCACACATGCACACACGCCAGTCATGGGGCTTGAACTCCCTTGGGAGCTATCTCTAGTATTTTATCACTTGAGCCACAGCTCCACTTCCAGCTAATTTTTTGGTGGTTAATTGGAGATGAGAGTCATATGGACATTCCTGCCTTAGCTGGGTTTGAACCATGGTCCTCTGTTCTTAGCCTACAAAATAGCTAGGATTACAGGCATGAGTCACCACCACTCAGGCTTAAATCACTTTTAGTATTGTATCTACAACTATATTCTCTGTGTGTGTGTGTCTCTCTCTCTCTCAGAACTGAGGTTGAACTCAGAGCTTTATCACTGAGCTATAACCCTAGCCCTATATTTGCTGTTTTAATAACTCATAAATTGAGTGTCTAAGTTCAGAGAATTAGTGTGCCAGAAAAGTAACATAAAGAAAAATAAAAAAAAATTGGTAGTGCTAGGGTTTGAATTGTGGGTGTCATGTTTGTTAGGCCAGTTATTTTTTTTAATATTGTCTTGAGTTTTTGCCTGGGGCCAGCCTTGGACCATCCCCCTATTTATGTATTCCACATGGCTTGGATTACAGGTGCATGCCACTACACCTAGTGTGTTGGTGATTGTGTTTATAGCCTGGGCTCACCTGGAACCTCAGCCTTCTTAATCTCAACCTTTTGAATTTTACAAGCATTCAGCATCACACTTGGCCTTGAAAATTTCTTTATGTATATTTTTGTTTACACATTTTATTATTATGGTTTGTTTATATGATATCCTTACAACTGTAAAACACTATCAATATATCAGTTTACTGATTAATAACAGGAAAAAGAAATAAAAAGTTTCCTTTCTGTTGTCATTTGTTAGTAATGGTTCCATGATCACTAAAACTTCACTTACCAGGATTATAGCCATTTTTGCAAGTACAAAAATAATGGAATTAGGTTATTTCAAATGTATATCAGTCTTAACCTTTTATGACTTTTGGACTTTAATCCTTAAAATCTCTAAATAAGCTATACAGCTGTTGGTCAAACCTGAGATCCTAGCTACCTGAGAGGCTGAGAACAAGAGACTCAAAGTTTCAGACCATTGTGAACAACACTGTAATCTCAAGCTATGTGGTAGGCTGAGAATGATAGGGTCACAGTTCCAGTTCATATAAAAAAATTCACAAAATTCTGTCCTCATGAATGGAGGATGTGGTGGTGCATACTTGTAATCCCAGAAATGTCAGGAAGCCTAAAGTTCATGACTCAGGCCCTCACCTGATCAGGAAACAAAACCTTATTCTAGAAAAACAATCCTTAGGTATAAAACAATACGTACTTAATACTTAGGTCATTTCTGTTTCTATATGACTTTATCTACATCAGAGCACTGAAGTTTATATAAAATCAATTGTGTCCATTTAAAAATAATATATAGGGGCTGGCATGTAGCTTAGTGTCGAAGTGCTTGCCTCATAAGTGCAATGTCTTGGGTTCAATCCCCAATACCAAAAAAGAAAAGACAAAAAAAATGTAAAGTTACTTTGTAAATTGTAAGCTCTTATCAAGTGTTAGTTATCTAGGATTATTACAAAACATTACTTAGTTACAGAAATTTATACACTTCCTTTTATCAACAATATTTTTACTGTGAATATGTCAAAAATAAATTCACTTTTCCTTTTGTGCTGATACTGGAGCTTAAACATATAACCTGGGTACTGTCCCTTAACTTCATGGGGCTCTCTAGCAGTTGAGTCGAAGCTGAAATTCTGGCTTTTTTGCTGGTTGATTGGAAATATAAGTCTCAAAGACTTTCCTGCCCAGTCTTGTTTTGAATCATGATCCTCAGATCTCAGCTAGAACTACATGCTTAAACCACTAATGCCTGCTAATGGTAAAGATATTTAATGAGTCCATTTTTTGGCTCTACCCCCAAAAGACACTAAATATAATGTGTAATTACAAAACAGGAAAAAACACTGCCCAACCAAAAGATTTTCATGTGCTCTACACTACAGTATAATATTCTAATAATTGTACAAATGATAAATGATCAGCTCCATGCATTTACAAAATTATTTTGAAGAAAAGCAATTTTATTTTAACCTTAAAATTTGAATATTTACCCTTAGAGAAGATGTTCTTTTAGGTTTCGGTTCTGGTATATCAGGCACAGGCAACTGCATCATGGAAAAAGAAAAATATATAATTTAAAAGGAGTCCTTAGTGTGAAAGATTTCAATCTTGTTATTTATTTTGTTCTATTAGTCAAGATTCTGTAAATTTTAAAATTAGATTGCATAACAAAAAAAGACTACTTACAGCAGAAAGTCTAGCTGATCTTCTCTTTGGCTGCAAGTAAAGGAAAAAATAATCAGTTAAGAGATTAGAGACATAAAAAGCTACAATGATTTTTATTATGGTGAAAAGATTTGGTGTAACACTACAAATATAATGTTACTAAAGAAGCAATTGTGCTGGGAAAGAGTAAGGGAAGAGGTGACATTATTCCAGAAGAAATGTACTTTGTCTAACTTAGGCAACTGTAACTCCTCTGTACATCACCTTTATAATAACAATAAAAAACTTAAAAAGAAGCATTTGTAAATTTAGGTAGACAATATCCTAATAAAAGTAAAGTTTTCCATTTTCCTATCTTGTGAACCCTTTATAAGTGAAAGGGGAAAATTCCCAAATAAAGCTACAGTTTCTAGGCTCAACTAATACAATGGCTATCACAAAGCACAAAGCAATGTATTTTATTTTATTTTTTTTTGGGGGGGGTCCGGTCGTGGGGCCTGGGCACTGTCCCTCAGCTCTTTAGCTCAAGGCTAGTGTTCTACCACTTGAGCCACAGTGCCACTTCCGGCTTTTTTCTTTTTGCTTATGTGGTACTAAGGAATCGAACCCAGGGCCTCAGGCATACAAGGCGAGTGCTCTACCACTGAGCTACCTTCCCAGCCCCAAAGCAATTATTTTAAAATGAAAATATAGCTCCATCTTTCCAAAAGCAAAGTGATTTTTATGCTTAAGAAAAGACTTTCCACAGAAGTGGAGCTGTGGCTCGAGTGGTGGAGCACCAGCCTTGAGTGAAATAACTCAGAGACAGTGCCCAAGTCCTGAGTTCAAGCCCCAGTATTAGGATGCGCGTGCACGCACACACACACACACACAAAAGTTGTGCTCCAGATCTTAGGTCTTAACCAGTACAATAAAGGCCTAAGTTCCAAGAAGTTTGCAGTTCTGGAGACTGTGTGTGTGTGTGTGTGTGTGTGTGTGTGTGTGTGTGTGTGTGTAAAGAGAGAGACTGGTGTATACATGTATATAGTATATATATTATATATGTATACATATTTATGTGCATATGTGTGTACATATTCATATATACATATATATATATAGAGAGAGAGAGAGAGAGAGAGAGAAAGAGAGAGAGAGCCACAGCTCCAGTTCTAATTTTTTGGTGGTTAATTGGTGATATGAGTCTCCGGTACTTTCCTGTTCAGTCTGGCTTTGAAACTGTAATCCTCCTATCTCAGCTTCCTGAGCTAGGAATAGAGGTGTGAGCCACCAGTGCCTGGCCATATAATTTTGAAGAGCTCACTGGAATACCATAGTGATGATTTCATGGTACAAACATACCATCTATTTTGCCCTGTTATATAGGTAGGGGTGTGTGTGTGTGTGTGTGTGTGTGTGTGTTTATGTTTGATGCTGGTACTGGTGTGTGTGTGTGTGTGTGTATGTGTGTGTGTGTGTTTATGTTTGATGCTGGTACTGGGGTGTGTGTGTGTGTGTGTGTGTGTGTGTGTGTGTGTGTGTGTGTGTGTGTATGTTTGATGCTGGTACTGGAGCTTGAACTAAGGGCCCCAGTGCTTTCACTGAACCTTTTTGCTCAAGTGTAGAGCTTGTCCACTTGAGCCACAGAGCTCCACTTCTGGTACTTTGGTGGTTAATTAGAGCTAAGTGTCTCACAGACTTTCCTGCCCTAGCTGGTTTTGAACCAAGATTCTCATATCTCAGTCTCCTGCACGGTTAGGGTTACAGGTGTGAGCCACCAGCCCAGTCTGTTAGGTGTTTTGAAGTCTCTCAAAATGAGTGCATTTTGGACAAATTTAAAAACTGAACACTTACCTCTTTCTTCATATCATCTTGACCTGCAGCCTATACAGAGGAGGAGAAAACAACAAAACAAAAACGACACACATAAGAAATAAGAACATCAGTATAAGCATATGGATCAGAGAATATTGCCTATGGATTATGGTTGTAATGTAGACGCTTATTTTCCTGGGTTCCTGCTCAAGCAGCCACATGTTTCCCCAACACACATCCCCTCCAGGTATGTTACATTCTTCTGTCTACTAAAGCACAAAGGTTCATGTTCTAATATGTAATTGCTAGCTCCAGGCAGTTGCCTAAAAAATTGATATGAAATTTTATCTTTTTGTTCAAAGAACATCTTGTGAAAAGAACACAGTTCATTCTGAAGCCCACCTGCAGTGTTAAAACCATAATGGGGGTGAAGGCCGGTCAAATGAAAGCGGAAGTTCATGCAATTTCCCAGTCTCTCTTGCCTTGTTTTATTACGAAATTGTACTTATTTGTCCTTCTGTTTTGATTTTGGAGTATTCCCTTGCATAAATTCTGCATACAAAACAATTTCCTCCACAATGCTATGAGCAAAGGGAGAGAACTTCTTTGTTACAAAGTCAATGCTTTTATTCGGAAAAGCTAGCTGCGGATTTTAAAACTTCCCGCCGCTTCTACCTTGCACAAGGTTGCTGTCAACTCGGAAAATAGAAAGATCCATTGTATAAGCCTGGGAAAGCAAAGTGAGAACTTCAGGGAGGGAGATGGTGATTCGAAACAACTGCTTTCTGTATCTGAGTAGTCTTAGCTCAGAATTATCAATCGATTGCGCGACTCATACAGCACCAGAGCACCGGGGAATCTCAGCCTTAGAAGTAAGGATAAACAGGAACAATATAAAACAAGTCAGAGTGTTTTATATTACCAGTGTTTTATAATTTTACCAAGCACCCAAACAGTGTTGATTTCAATTATTCGGCACTCAGGAAAGAAACGAACAAAAAAGCCCCCATAGAACCCCGTAGAGTTAACTTATTTCTTTCTTACGTGTGAAGCTAGGAATTGGAACGGGAAGGTTTGCAGAAGATCTGTAGCCCTTGAATATTTCAGACCATTTCTGCATGTCAAAAGTGAACAAGTCCCACAGTGTTCCAACATCTGCAATAGTTTATCCGACACAGCTTTAATCGCCATTCCACCTTTAACTAGAGAGCTAGGAGCGTGCCAGGTCTTCCAACCCCAAAGTTTCTCATTACAACAGTGAATCTCTCCCTTCTCTTGGACAGTTTGAAGTCTGCGCCGCCTAATGGCACAGGATTACCATTGCATAGCCATCTGGCATGACAAGAAGTGGAGGAGGGAAGGGAGGAAAAAAAAGGAAAAAGAAAATGGGAAGAACAAAGGCAAATGCGGGAGAAAGCCGTGGCTTTTCGATCCCTCAAACGGGACGGTTCCCCGAAAGAAGCAGGCGGCCGAGGAGGAAACCGGTGCCTCGAAGTGTGGCTGGGAGAAGTGTTCTCCAATAGGGTGAGCGGAGGAAGGGGGGTGGGGTAGGAAGCGACAGCAAGCGCTATGGCTGTTTGTAATTCAGCATGGAGACACCTCTCAGGCGATTCTTTCCCTTAAACAAAACACACCAAAAGTGAACTACCAGTTGCATGGGAGGCCATCCTAAACCTTAAACCGACTCCTCTTCCCCTTTCCTTTCTCTTCCATTCAACACATCACAAAAATCAAACTAGAAGACAAAAATGTCCCCTCTTGATATATAGATATACACATACACATATATATTAAAATCTCTGCCTTCGAAAATATGTATTTCAGCAGCTAATCTACCTTCTATCTTCTCATTTCACTTACCTTTCTTTTGGGCATTGTTGCAGCTCCCTATAGGAGATCGTAATAGCAAGAAAAAAAAAAAGGCGAAAGCAGCCACTGCCTGGCGCCTCCGAGAGCAACTGAGTTTTCAATGAACTAATTGCAGCACGACCTGTACTCGCCTTCAAAAAAAAAAAAAATCTCTCGTTATTGGCAACATTAAACACGCCAAGACGCAACCAAACTACGTGAATGGTTAGCAGGAGTGCGAGCCAGATTGGAGTGACAGGCTGTCAAGCCAATAAGAGGAAGTGGCCGATCTCGGGGGCGTGGCCCGCGAACTTGCCCAAAGACCTGGTAAAACTGGCGGCATTGGCTGTTGGTTGGGTTCGCGTGAGGATTTAGTAGATTCACCGTGCTAAAATGTAACTGGCAGAAAATCCAGAGTGGTTTTGATTTTTTTTCGCTTCTCTGTTGTAATGGCAGGCGAAAAGCAACTAAATGTCCAAATCCCTCACCTTTTCCTCTTCGCGGGGGTGGGGGTGGGGAGTGGAGTGATTTTGAGATCTGCTTGAGTCTGGTTGCCAGTTGGTCTCCGTCACTTTTAAGAGGGTAGGAATAAAGTAACAGGAGCACTCTTTCACCGAATGGAACCGAGTGGAAATGCTTCTCAGGCCCTTGGAACTTCCCGCCAAAGTACAATTGCCCGGGTTTCTAAGGTTGCCAAAAACTGCGCGCCTCCCGCAGGTGCAGAGTAGAAACAAATCTGGGAACTGGGAGAGCCAGAGGCATCTGAACGCTGGGATATGTCTGGGTTAAAATCCCATTTTCCCACTTGGAGGGACTTCAATAGGACCATGAAGGAAATTTGTAATGCCAGGAGGTCTATTCAGGGTAAAAACATTGACAAAGTGGGGTTTCCATGCAAAGGGGAGGGTTAATGAGACAGACTTAGGAAGGTGTTAAACTTCATGTGTTTTAGAACTAGGAGCACAGGCTAGCACAGGGTTATCCAGACACTCACCTCCGAATGAAACTTAAGGTTTTGTCAAAAACGAAGGCTCTGGATGCAGGTGGTTCACACCTGTAACTACTCAAGAGGCTGATATTTCAGTATCACAGTTCAAAGCCAGCTGAGGCAGCCAAGTCTATGATTCTTATTTCCAATCAACCAGCAAAAAGCTGGAGGTGGAGCTGTGGCTCAAATGGTAGAGTGGAGAAAAATAAAACCTAAGGGAGGGCTGGGAAGGTGGCTCAGTGGTGCTTGCCTTGCATGCATGAGGCCCTGGGTTCGATTCCTCAGCACCATATAAGCAGAAAAGGCCGGAAGTGGTGCTGTGGCTCAAGCAGTAGAGCTCTTGAAGAGCTGAGGGACAGCACCCAGGCCCAGAGTTCAGGCCCCACAACTGACAAAAAAAAAAAAAACACCTAAGGGATGGCACCAAGGCCCTGAGTCCAAGCCCCAGAACGGACACAAAACAAAACAAATAAACTTCAAACAAATAAAAGCCCCACAAAGTTTTGTGTGATGCAAATCATGTAGCTACCTTTATTTAAAATTTGGATGTTATTTCATAATGGACTTTTTGTTTTGTTATTAAGCTATTTCATTAAAATGTGAATCTTTATCACTGAGTTTGGAGTGATGTCCTTAAATTTTTGTCTAAGAAGGTTATTTCCTTACTCTCAGACAAGATAGGTAGCTTTTTACTCTAAGAAACGTATATAGCTGCCTTTCCAATGTCAGCTCCTGAGACCTAAAACTTCTGAAGATGATGTGCTAAAGGAAAAACACAGCACTTGGGAAGAACTGTGGCTACAATGGAGTACTCAGGATTCTGCAGTCCTTTTGGAATTGCTCTTTGTTTAGGTGTTATACAGGAAGGGCAAATTGCATTTAAATAACTGCAACACTCAATGTTTAGTCAAAAACAAAAGTAACTTTCAAACAGTTAAAAATTCCACTTATATTTCTGTGTTAAAAAATTGAATTAGCTGGGGCATCAGTGGCTCTAGCTACTCAGGAGGCTGAGATTTGAAGATCCTGGTTAAAAGCCAGCACTGTCAGGAGCATCTCTGAGACGCTTATCTCAAATTAACTACCAAAAAGGCAAAAGTGGAGCTGTGGATCAAGCAGTTGAGTGCTATCCTTGATCAAAAGAAGCTTAGGGACAGCACCCAGGCCCAGAGTTTAAGCCCCAGGACCAGCAAAAATAAATAACTACATAAATAAATTATATATATACACATATATATGTATATATACATACATATATATGTATATATATATATATAAAATCAGTTTAAAAGGCAAATAGTAGCCAGGCTGATGCCTGTAATCCCAGCCCTGTAGAAGTTGAGGAATGTAGGTGGATACCCCTCCATGTTCTTAGAGCCTCTTCTACCATTATAGCAAAAGTGTTGGATAAACCTAGGTATATTTCAACCATTTTAAATTACAAGAGTTGGAAAATAAGGTTTAAATAAAGTTCAGTATTTAAGGATGACATCATATAGATACAGAGAAAACTAGAAAAATGGAAAATGTGTCAGCATTATAATGCATTCACTCAACAAATTCTAATTTTGCAATGTTTTGTGAGCTTGATTTTTGTTGCTGTACAATAGCTTATGAAAATGCAAACCCCTGTGGCATATAAAGTTGCATTATACATTTTCTTCCCTGAAGGAATTATTTCTTTGTGGGATTGAGCAAACAGATACATTCCTATTTACAAATCAAGATTGTTGTTATATAAATGGTACAGACTGTGTTCAATGATAGAACAGAAGGGAAAGATCTTTTAGAACCAAGGTAAATTGCACAAAGCTTTTGTTGAGGAGATGCGGTTTGACTTGGCTCCAAACTATTGAGTACAACGTTATAGCAAATGTAGAGCCAGACAAAGTTTCTACTTGTTCAGAGAACAGAATACCAATTGACAGTAGATTGAAACAAATCACGGTGATGTGCTTTGGTTGATAACTAAATGTGTAGAGCAGTAAACTCTAAAATTCTGCAAGTTTGTTAGGAATTTTCATTTTTGTTAGTTGTTCTGCATTTTAACCTGTTGCTCTTCTGATTTACATGTTCTCAAATTGCAAACATAGTCATTCATGAATGCATAAGATAAAACTCTATTTGTGGAACGTTCTTCCATTTTTTCTAACCAATTATCACTTGGTGTATGCTCTTTGCTATTACTATATTTTTACCTCTGCACTGTCCTCATTCTCTTAAATTGTCACTTACCAAATGTTTTGATCCTAATGCCTAATAATTTTAACAAAAGCCTTCTCCAATAATTTCAGCCCAATAAAAATTCTTCCAGTGACATGTAAGCCTAGCTACTCAGGAGGCTGAGATCTCAGGATCTTGGTTCAAAGCCAGCCCAGTCAGGAAAATCTGTGAGATTCATCTCCAATTAGACACTATAGAGCCAAAAGCAGAGCTGTGACTCAAGTGGTAGAGCACTAGCCTTGAACAAACAAACTCAGATACATCACCCAGGCCCTGAGTTCAAAGCTCAAGGCACACACTAAAACATTCTTTCCTCTATACTATAGAATGTAGATCATTATAATACCAAATCTTAATTTTCATGCCAAATTTAGATGGTTATAAAATTTAGATTCTACCACCATATGACAATAGCAAGCTTGATTTTTTATTTACTTTTATTTGGTGCAAAGACTGGGGTTTGAACTCAGGCATAGGCCCTGTACCTTAGCTTTTTCAACCAAGGCTGGAACTCTACCACTTGATTAAAAACTCCACTTTGGCTTTTGACTAGTTAATTGGAAATAAGAATCTTATGGACTTTTCTGTCATGGTTGACTTCAAGCCTCCTGTGTAGAAAGAATTACAGATATGAGCCAACAGTGCTTGGATTTTTTTTCTTCTTTTCTTCTTCAATCATGCATTCCTACTTCTTTATCCAGGCTCAAACTTGTATATAATTATTTTTCTTTCCTACATATTTTACCATATCACATTCTACATACCTTGAGTAAAATTAACTCCTTTTACAATTTTTTGAAATTGATAAATTATTTCAGAATAAGTATTTTTGCAGGAAACTTTACTTTTTTGTTGGTTGTGGGGCTTGAACTCAGGGCCTAGGCACTGTCCTTGAGCTCTTTTGCTCAAGGCTACTTCTTTACCACTTCGTGTCACAGCTTCACTTCTGGTTTTCTGTGGTTAATGGAAGATAAGTGTCTCACAGGCTTTCCTGCCCAGGTTGGCTTTGAACCACGATCCTCAGATCTCAGCCTCCTGAGAAGTTGGGATTATAAACTTGAGTCATCAACCCTGGCATGGAACTTTACTCTTTACTGAATCCTTTTTTCTAAAATTATACTTGCTTATTTCTCTTTTGTAATTAATTTGTGAATACCTATGAATGTTGATTTCCTAGCAATTTTCATTTCCTCTGGCTACTAGGCATGCGTAACATAATTGTCAAAATTTAGAGGCTCTGAAGCATGTCCATGCAGCAACCAGTGGGAAATGATGCAGAAAGTTGTAAAATGTTTCAGATGAAAGTCATCAGCATTAAAATGTTTGAAAGAATCCAAAATGAAGTATTAAGGTTATGTTTTATGACAAAAAGATCTTAGTCAAGAATCAAAATTATTTTCAAATGTTCTGTGTACTTGTAGTTTTAAATTATGTATGATGTGTTATCAAAAGTATTCTAGACACTACTTTGTATGCATCAAGATTTCAAAAGTACCCATTAATACTAATAGATTCTTTTTTCACTAATATCTTTCATTTTGTCCCTACTATTATTATTTTTTTTTTGGTCTGGTCATGGGACCTGAACTCTGGGCCTGGGCACTGTCCCTGAGCTCTTCAGCTCAAGGCTAGCACTCTACCACTTGAGCTACAGTGCCACTTCCAGCTTTTTTCTTATGTGGTGCTGAGGAATCGAACCCAGGGCCTCAGGCATGCAAGGCAAGCACTCTACCACTGAGCCACCTTCCCAGCCCTTGTCCCTACTATTATTACTATTACTATTCCCATTATAGTTCCCAAAATGAAGTTATTTAGAAACTGTTTAATGGCATTAGCGGCAAATAATATTGTAAGACTTATGATATATAATCAAACTGTATTGTTGGTTGGTATTTCAGATGGCAAAGTAAGAGTATCATTAGTTAAATAAATTTCTGGGCTTGTCCATAATTTATATGAGGAAT